CAGAAAAAAATGGATCGAACTTGTGCAAATCCATAATGGATCAGAAAAAACCGGCGCTGCTCCTCTATCTTCTTCAACCCCTACCCAGAACCCTACCCCACCCCAACCACCTCAGCTCTCCCTCTCCGATACTATCGCCGATGTCTCACCTTTCATCCTGATAACCCTAGACCTCGCCGTCCACAACTTCTACCACCGGCGCCACCTCTTCCATGTACAACTCGGCCGCTGCGGTCTCTGCCATCACATCAATCCAGCCGCTCCCCTGCGGCTGACCGACCCACGCTGGATCAAGGATGACCTCACAATCATCCAATGGATATATACGCGCATCTCCACTGAGATCTTCAACCTCATCTCCAACGACGATGCCACCGCCGCTGAACTTTGGGCCTCTCTTCAACAGCTATTCGAGGACAACTCCGATGCACGTGTTAACGCGCTACGCATCTAGCTCCGCACCAGCATCCAAGGCGACTCTCCGGTCACCGTCTATTGCCAACGCAACAAGGCGATTGGCGATGAACTCCGTGAGCTCGGTGATCACGCTGACGATCGGACCCTCATCAACGCTCTCCTTGTTGGCCTCGGGGAACAGTTCGAGAAGCAGGTCGCCTTCATCCCTATGCTGCGACCCTACCCCTCCTTCACGGAGGTCCGCTCCATCTTGCAGCGCGAGGCGCAGAACCAGGCGCGCAAGGCGACGCATCTTCCCTAGGTGTTTCACGCCACACGGCCCTCTGCACCATCTGCGGCGCCTCCATTGCTTGCTCCACTGACGCCTTCATCCTCGGCTCCTCCAGGCTGGCACCCGAGCCCTAACTTTCGGGGCAAAAACCCCGTCTACCGGCCGCCGCAGCCTCGATCAGCTCCACCACCAGGCGCCTCTTCCATCGGTCGCTCCTCCTGTGTCTTGGCACCCTCAACAAGACCCCTGGACTGGTATTTTTCAGGCGTGGCCCATGCCCTGTTCTGCGCCTTCTCCATATGGTGCTCCTCCCGCGTACACCGGCAACTGGAGCCCGGGCCTTCTCCCTGCTACCGGTGCTCCCAACCTCCTTGGTCCGCAGCCACCGCCTCATGTCTACACTGCCACAACCTCTTCATTGCCAGCCGTCCAAGGATCACCTTCCGGCTACCTGCCGGTACCCTATGCGCCCTACGCCTACGGCCCTGCTTCACCCATGCCGTACGCGCACGGGCCTGTGCCCGGACCACCAGCTACTCCACCACAGCCAGCCTGGGATCGAGCCGCCTTCATCGCCGCCATGAACAACTTCACACTCAATAACCAAGGTACGGATTGGATTTTCGATTCCGGTGCATCCTTGCATATGTCTTCATATATGGATATTCTGTCAGTTTGTTTTCCTTCCGCTTATTCTTCCATCACCATAGGCGACGACTCCCTTGTTCCCGTCTCTTGCACCGGTCATTCTTCTATACAAACAGATCATGCCATTTTTCAACTCCGCAATATTCTTGTTGTTCCTTCTTTAATAAAAACCTTATTTCTGTTTGCCAATTTACCATCGATAATCTTGTCATTCTAGCATTTGATCCTTTTGGTTTATCTGTGAAGGATCTGAGAACGGGGGCACTTCTTGCTCGCCACAATAGCAGTGGATGAGGCGCCGGTCTGTCCAGCTTCCGTTACGAAGCTCTGGCTATGGCAGACATGTATGAATTCGAGCGGGCCGACATAGAAACGATGAGAAATGGAGTTGGATAGGCCGGAAGAGACGCGGGTCACCTTGGGGTGGTTGATGGTGAGTTGGGTGAGGGTCGGGGAAGCAGAACGGCGATGAGTCGAGGTGGAGGGGCGGTGGCTGGAGCTCGAGATGCAGTAGACGAAGGCGAGGTAGAGGTGGCTACCTATGTGTTGTTGCCTCCGGGGCGGACCAAGCTAGTGTTGACGAAGAATAGGAACATGGCTGCACATCATAGTGTCACAGATGATGCGTCCTCCTTGCCGGTATTGCTCGTCCCGACATGGTCACCATCGTCGAGTGGAGACGCATAGCAAGTGTGCGATGAAATGTATGAACCAAATGTGAGTTTTAGAGAGTAAAGTTTAGGAGTTCGGTCAGAAACTACACATTTCAAAGGAGAAAATATACACCTCTACAGGATACTCGACGGTTTACTCTTCTAAATTATTAGTGATCGGTTAGAGATGTTCTTATATCATAGTACTTGAGAAACTAGCTATGTAACGGTGTGGCCAAACCCCGCATATTTTATTGATTGCTCCTTTTTGTGTACGTACGACCTCTAGGTCCGTCGTACGCTCATATGCCTAGTAGTTTACCATCAAGCAAGTGAATCAGCAGTAGTTTGTATCGGTCGGCCCAGACCAAGTTGTACAACGGCGTCGACTTCACAGGCGGTCGCATCAGCCGGATCCAGCAGCTCTCCAAGCTCTTCACCCCACGGGCAAACTCGTCGGCGATCCCCGCGAAGCGGCAATTGGGCAGCATCTCATTGGCGACGCGGTTGATAGAGCTTCTCGCCATGGCGTAGTCGTTCAGGCACCCCTCGTAGGCGTTCCTCTCCTGGCCAGAGAGCGAGGTGTTCTGGCTGAGCAGGTTCCTCGCGGCGAGTCGTGTGGCGTCCAAGGATTCAACGGCGAACCGCGCGGCGAGGATCACGTATCCGGTGGCGCCCTCCTTGTGCGATCCGGATATTTCGACGCCGCCCCAGATCATCACGTCGATGCATAGATCTTGCAACAGCTTCGTGCTGCATGACTCGCCGCAGGCAGAAGACCCATCCAGCGCCGGCACACCACGGCAGTCCGTGCTTGCGGCAGCCATGCAAAAGGGCGCAAGGACCAGGAGGACGAGAATGATCTTCGCCATAGTCATATAGAGTGTGCACGTCTCTCTCTTCGTCGGGAGATGTTTCTTTGTGAAGCGAGAGTATAATATATGCACATATCATTAGCATTATTTGTAGCATTAATTTATTGTGTGCGTTTTAATGTATTGATTTATTTGATTTAATGAATGATGTGGACCAGCATTCCAAGATAGAATGCATTGCATGCGCATGACAAGTGGAGAGTGTATATGGTATATGAAAATTTAATATTTGTATATTGTACACTAATATTCAATATATTCTACATAAATGATAGTAGTGTCTAAATGATATTCTACATAAATTAACATTTTTATTTTTTATTGAGTCATTCTTTCTTCTTCCCGAAGGACAACGCGATCTCGGCAGCGCCCGTCACCGCGGAGTTCCTCCGCCGCTGTCTGCCGGCGGCTCACCTCCGCCGACGACGGAGGGGGATCATCGGATCCGCCGCCAAAGTAGTTTCATTTTTAGGTTGTTCATCGCCTTAGCTTCAGCGGCGGCGATGATGGTGCTGGATAAAGTCTCTTTAGATCCTACTCCGACGAGGCGATCGGTCCTATGGTTGGGGTGAATTTGGAATCGGCGGTGGCAGCATCCTCGTGGTGGACAAATGTCTTCGGACTCCGTCATTGCGACGGTGTTTACTTCAGCGCCGGCGCGGAGCTTGAGAAGGTAGTCTAGGAGCGGATGCATATTGTCGTGTGCATCAGCGACATTTGAAATATGGTGGATCGTGTGCTAGGTTCCTGATACGTAGGGTTGGTGGTCGTCAAACCAGTCCTCTTTGTTCTAGCCAGCGTAAATGGTGCTCTTTTGGACACCTTGATTAGATAGGGCCGATCGTGCGCACCCGCAATATCAACATAACCCGCTTCACCGGGGTATCGCGAAGCTCTGTTTTTGTTGACACCTTGGGACATATCTGCACCAAGATTTCAAAGGGTTCAACACATGCAGAGAATGCCATGGCGTGATTGGAGGACATGCAAATGGCGAAGACGGGTTCTTGGATGTGTTGAAGACTTTGCTTCACAGGCAGTTTTTCAAACATGGCTTGCGGGATATGTCCCCGTCTAGACCGGGCACGAGTTTCTGTGAGCCTGGTGGTACGTGACTTGCAGTAGTAGCCTCCTCAAGTGGGGGCAGCAACATCGGAGGACTTCTTTGTTGGCGGTGCTCCTTTTAGTATCAAGGCGTGACTTTTAGGATGAAAACCCAAGGTCTGGCCTTTATCGGTTGTGCCTAGTAATGACCTTGTTGAAGACACTGATTTTGGAACGCAGTCTTTCTTCAGGGTGAAAACCTATGGTCTTTGATCGGACAACGACAACGCTTGTGCATTGTTTCCTTTCTGGAGACGGTGCTTTTCGAGAACCTTCTTTCTAGTATGGGTGTCGGTGTACAAAAGAAGGGGCTCTCCTTTATACCCCTTTACTTGTGCACGGGCAGTCAGAGCCGTGCCTGCGGCCACACTTAGCAGGGCAGAGAAGGGAAGCCAGAGCGCAGGACAATTGAAGCAACGCCAAGACCAGAAGCATAAAGAGAAGGAGGGTGAGGTGAACTCCCCCGGCAAGGCCCTTGCCAGGGAATCCTCCACAGCCCCGGCAAGAACCTTGCCGGGGCCACTTACCCAACGCCAGCGGAGCGCGCCACCCTTGAGCTCAAGGGTTCCAATGCCATCAATCACGTTGGAACCAAGGCTCGGGAGGCTCCTCCGTGGTGGCATGCTGATCTTTGTGAAAATCATGAGCACACAAGATCAGATAAGGACCAGAAGACGACGATCCTCAACAAGATCCTTGCCAAGGATACCCACGAGGCCCCCGGCAAGATCCTTGCCGGGGACGACCGCGATGCCACGGCAAGACCCTTGCCGGGGCCCCAGCAAGACTATTGCCGAGGACATCAGCAGGGCCACAGCTAGGCCCACAACTGCCAAGACTCCACCACCGTTCCGATGCAGCTGCCAGCCCACCAACTAGGCGAGCACATGCGTGGCGAAGTCAGGCCTCCGGGCCAACTCAGCAAGCACCCGCGTGGTGGCATGCAGATCTTCATGAGGACCCTACCACCACGCCAACTCAGCAGTCTGCCAGTCTACATGGCACTACACGCCTCGGTGGCCTAGACGCGTGTCGAAGCAAGACGGAGAGGCAACAGACGGGACGGGCCTCGTTACCGTCCCCAATAAAGAAAGGGGACACCTAAGGAGTGCATTTAATGGGTTCTGTCCCGTAATGGCAAGCGATAAGCTCAGCCACTGTACGCCTTTCCACCTCCTGTGTGCCACTGTGGCGTCCCCTTTGAACTATAAAAGGAGGCCCGAGTCATACTGGAGAGGGATTCGGCTCTTTGGACAAGTTACATGTTGTAGCTAGTTCAAGAAGTCAAGAACACTTAAATAGACACCAAAGCAGGACTAGGGTATTACGCATCCTGGCGGCCCGAACCTGGGTAACGATCTTTGTGCTGACTCTTAAACCCGCTCTTTCCACAACCTCGCGCCTGCCGACCGTAGTAGGGATTCCAGTGATCCCATAGGTGTTGTTTTCCACCGACATCTTTGGCGCGCCAGGTAGGGGGGCGCAGTTGTGAAAATCCAGTTTAGCAGTCAGTTTAGTTGTTCTTCATCGCCATGGCTCCCAAGAAGAAGATGGTGACGGCGGTCGGTCCACCCGGAGCCGGATGGCCCGTACCAGTGCAGGCAAGTAGCAGGGCGGTCGCGGATGGAAGCCGAGGCGCGGCCTGCGAACACCCACATCACTCTGGCAGTCAGAGCCTGGTGAGCGGCGTCGTTCGTGCGCAAGACGACGAGCCGCACGCTGCCAAATCCAAAGACGGAGCTGGGCCCTCCAAGGGAGGCGCCGTGCCCCCTACCGGCGGCGCGGCGACCTCCAAGACACCTACGCTGGTGCCCACGATGCGCTCTTCCCAAGTTGTGCGCGATGAGCAGTGTCACCACACTGGTGACCCCAGGCGCCACCGTGGGAACCCTGCGCATCACTAGCGGGACGAAGAAAGCCAGCATGTACGCCGAAGTGCTGGCAAAAATGGCGTACAGCCGCGAGGCCCTGATAGAGCTCCTTCTAACGTGGTTAGAAGTCGGAGCGCGTCACGGTCCACGCAGCTTTCACCGCTGCCCACGCCAGCAGAAGCTTTGGCGCGCGAGCAACTACTTCTCGACTTTCCTCCTGCTGCGAAAAAACTAGATGAGTGGAGAGACACCATCCGGGGCCTCGTCGGCGCCGCCAACAAAGATGAGACGCGACCGGCGGGGCCCTCAGGCAGACACTCCGTCGAGCCACCGCATGCCAATGGTAGAAGGGCCGGAGGTGATGCAGCGACGGTGCACTCTCCTCCCCCGCACCAGTTACCGCAGTTGTCGGTCCGTCATGATGACGCTTGTGATAACATTTCCATAGCGTCGTCCAACCCACGGACCCACCGCGAATAGCGCCAAGTTCTTCAGGAGCGAACCCTTGAAGACGATCGAAGCACCATCGAACATCGGCATGATGCGCACCACCAGTCAGATAGGCGGGAAGGGACCACTACAGACCACCCGGCGCAGGTAGGCTATGGTGGCCTACCCTACGAGGTGGGTTGCCAAGCTTCTACCCGTGAGGTGCGGAAGTTCCAGTGGCCCTCCCACCGCATGTTCAAGCCCGATGTTGGCGAGAAGTACAACGACAAGACTCACCCGTCGGAGTTCCTCATCATCTACACCATCACGATGCAAGCTGCTAGAGCCCGCGACGACAAGGTGCTTGCCAATTACTTCCCGTTGGCACTTAAGCCCAATGTCACGTCATGGTTGATGCACTTGCCGACGGATTCCATTTCTTCTTTGTCAGATTTGTGTCATGAGTTCGTTGGCACCTTCACTGGGGGCCATCAAGCTCATGGCCAGGCAAGCGATTTGCATATCATTCCCTAGAAGGAAGGTGAAAACCTGCGCAAGTACATACAGAGGTTCAGCCGGGTGCAGTACAACATCCCAGATGTTTATCCCGCTGCTGTGATCAGCGCATTCCATCAGAATGTGCGCAACTGCAAGATGCGTGAAGAGCTGGCAATGAACAAGGTCAAAGATGTGGCCAAACTTTATATTCTCGCTGATAGGTGCGCTCGAGCTGAAGAGGGGAGGAAGTACCCAGGCGAGGACGCTGATGCAGAAACCGACTCCACAGACAAAGATACCGCCGCCCTGATGAAGAAGGGCTGGCGCCGCAACAAAAAGCGTAAGGGCAAGGTCGTGCTTGCCGTCGAGGGATCTGACGACACCGACACTGCCAAAAAGGCCAAGGCAAATGACCCCGGCAAGGAAATTGCCGGGTGCGCCGCTTGCTGGGCCTTGGCGGCTGCCGACAAGCCAGGAAGTTCCAACAAGCAGTACTGCAAGATCCACCGCACCAAGGGCCACGACCTCCAGAACTGCCGACAAGTTGAGATGCTTGCTGAGAAGCAAAAAGCTGAGTATGAGAGGCGGGACAAGGAGAAGGGTCAGGATGGTGTCGAAGGATCCGGCAAGAAGCGTGGCGGCCAAGGAGGCCGCCGCGGTAGGGATAACCAATAAGAGAGGCCCGTCCGGGGCCGTGACAAGAAGTAGGAAGTCGATGATCATGACGAGGACGACGAGTCCGGCGACCATGAGTTTCGGAAAGCTACGGAGGTCATGTGCCTCGACGGTGGCGCCTCGCTACACACCTCTCACCGCCAATTCAAGAAGTGGGCGCATGAGATTGCAGCGGAGGAGCCATCATTCAATTCTCAAAAGCCACTGAAGTGGTCCAGCACGCCTATCATTTTTGACACCGAGGATCACCCTGATCGCACAGCTGCGGTCGGGTGTCTGCCATTGTTAGTTTCACCAAAGATACGCAAACTCAAGGTGACGAAGATGCTAGTTGACTGCGGGGCCGGTCTGAACTTGATCTCCCCTATTGTGATCAAGAGGCTGCAGAGTCCTTATGGAGACCTCGAAGAGATGGGCACGTTTCAA